GTGTGTCCCAGGAGCGAGGCGCCCTCACCGCAGGGTCTGCCCTATGAGCACTGAGGTTCCAGGTGGCTGGGTGCGCACCCGTAAGGAACCATCTCTGTTAGGGACGCTTCTGGGTTAGAAGAAAGTCCGACGTCACGTGTCTCCCCCCAGCTCTCTCGGGGCAGCCTCCTAACCACAACGGAGAACAACACGTTCTTGGCCGAGTACAAAGGGCCATCGCTGCTGAGCTCCACCGCTGTGCCCTCCCCGTGACCCCGGGAGCCCCACTTCAACACAGGGCCTCTCACCCTCTGTCATGCGTGTCAGAGGACGGGCCCCCACACATACACACGTGTCCCTGCTTCTGAGGGGGCTGGCAGACACGGTAAGAAGGCTGGTGTGGCGCGACCGTCATGACAGAGGGCCGGGGGCCAACAGGTCCAGGATCATGCATATGGAGGTTCCACCTGCGTTTCTAAAATCGGGTGTGTATGCACCCTGGCCGGTCTGGCTCAGCGGTTAGAGCGTCGGCCTGCGGACAGAAGAAGCCGGGTTTGATTCCGACCAAGGGCATGTACCTCGGTTTTGGTTTGTTCCCGGGCCCGGGGGGGGGGGGGGTTGTGCAGGAGGCAGCCAATCAGTGTGTCTCTCTCACATCAATGTTTCTCTCTCTCTCTCCCTCCCTCCCTCTAACTCCATCTGAAGATAAATGGAAAAATATCCTTGGGTGAGGATTTTTAAAAATTAAAAAATAAAACAAAGCCGTGCATGTGTGATGTGCACAGTGCGTGTCCGTGCGACGCAGGGATCCCACCCACACAACCTACCCCGGTGTGGAGACCGTCCAGAGTCCTCTGGGGAACGAGGAGACACTGAGTGAAGAGTCACATTCACTGCACATACGTGTGAATTGCTTTTTTCTTTTTTACAAGACAATACTGTCCTTGTAGTTTAATTAATAAAATAAAATTTCAAGACTGACTGGTCCCAAATGGGGTCAGAGTGTTGGCTGTCATGGAGAGACAAGTCCATGGAGCCCGGGACAGCACCTCGTGTTGGAAAGGCACAAGGATAGTCTGATGAACAGCCTGCTACAGACAGGTGAGGGCCTGAGGAGCTGAGGGTCAGAGCAGACCACAAGCCAGTGAGATAACAGCACCTTTAAAACACAGAGCAGGGCACGGCCGTGAGCTCCTCAGAGGAGCGGGTCCCGGCGCCACGGCCTGTGCGCACACTCGGGCCTGTGTCCTCTCCCCTCTCCTGTGAACTGCTGGTGCCCGCAGACCGCGTACAGTGCGGGCGGCTGTCACCAGAGGAGAAAGAGTGCAGGTAGCAAGCACGCGCTATATTCTTAGTTCTCAGCAAAGTAGGTTACGGTATAAAAATACCGCTCGGTAGTAACTGAGCGAGCACCACCTTTGTGTGCTCCCTGCAGCAGTCGACGTGCTCCGTCTGCAAACCCTCCTCGCCGAGTCCGGGCTCCAGCGCCCGGCTGGCCATCCCGCCCTGAGCAGGAGTGGGCACCGAGGGGTCACAGCTGCGGGCAGGGGCCTGAAGCCCCACATTTGTGAGGGGCTGCCGGGTGTGTCAGATGGTGCCAGGTGCTCAGTAAAGACAAACTGGGGGTCTGAGATGTAACCTCACCAAGCAGCAGGGGAATGAGCTGTGTGACCACTGGAGGCAGAAGGAACAGCACAAGCAAAGGCTCTGGGGCAGGAAGGCTGCGGGTGGGAGGAGCATGCTCCATGGCTCCTCCCCCCAAAACCCTCAGTTCCTGGCTTCAGAGCTCAGAGACCAGACCCTGTCTGCCCAGAGTGTCTGGGCTCCATCTGTTAGCTGCCTCGCCGGCCACTGGCCAGCTGAGTGAACGGGGCCTGCCTCAGCAAGGGTCACACCGAAGACAGACCGTGGATGGACTCAAGGGCACACCAAGGTCAGCTCTGGACTGGACCAGAGGTCGGGCCTCCTCGCTTCGGGGCAAGTCACCCACCCTCCCTCAGCGTCATCTCTGCGAAATGCTGGGGGTACAGGGGTCTTCTGGTCAAATAATTAAATGAAACCACAGGTTCAAGGCGACATGCTCCTTAGAGGTTGTCACAGGAGGTCCATGAACCCAAGTTACATTCAACACCTCACGGGAGCTGCTTTCTTATGGGGAGCACCCATATTTTAAAGGAGACAACCCCAAAAGTGGCAGGCTCTGACCTAACGAAGGCCCAGCGCACACGACCCCAGAGAGGGCACAGACCGGCCAGTGGGACACTCCCCGAGACCTGCAGGCCTGGTCCCAGCACACCCACCACAGGCTGGAGAGGGGACAACCCCAAACAACCCAGATGGCCACCAGGGGTGGGACAGCCCAGAGGTCGCCGGGTCAGCACACACCCCTGCCCATGACGCTCAGCCCAGGGCAAACACAAGTTTCAGGATTTTTATGTACAGCTTCAAGGACACGCACGAAGAACCCTACATGTTATAATGGACACTGACACCTGTGGGTAAAAGAGCCCAACAGGGTCGGGGGACAAGCACCACAGCAGGACAGCTGGAGGGAAACCGGGTCGCGTTCATCACTGAGGCTTCACGGCTGGGAACAAAAGGTGACTCAAAGCCACAATGGTAAAAGAGTAACAGTTTCCAGTTCAGGGTAGAAGAGATACAAGTGTTTACCACCCCTGGAAGTTTTCTTGGTTTTAAAAACCACACTGCTGGCCGACCTGTGCTGGCCCGAGCACTTACTGCCTGCGCTGCGCCTGTCTGGGGACCCCCTGCTCCAGGTGGCTCTTCACCCAGGACCTGAGCCAAGTCAGGCTGGTGTCCAGCTGGACAAGTGAGGGCAGAGCCCCAGAAAAGAGCTCCTTTGGTCCTCAGACCCTATGGCCCAAATCCTGAGCAGAGGCAGCAGTTGGGGGGGGGGGAGAAGGGGGGAGAAGGGTGGAGAAGGGGAGGGGCAGGAGGGGAGAAGCTGGGCCCACATCACGAGGGCAGCTGTGGGCCAGTGGCCTGGCCCTTCCCGGGCAGGGAGCTCAGCGTCGCCTGACTGGTGCCAGGGGCTGCAGCTTTAAATAAACTTGGACGAGTCCACCTGGGCCGGAAGCAACAGCAACTGTGCCTCGGACAGGCCAGCACCGCCCGCAGCTGGCCAGCATGGCCACCGTGGGCCCCAGCCCTGGGCTCACACTACGTGCCCAGCCTCCTCCTGCCCAGGTTGCCCTCACAGGACCTGGAGCCTATGGGGCAGAACTGAAGCCCTCCTGGCCCCTGGATGCTTCACCCGCAGGCCCCTGGCCCCCTCCACAGCTCGGCTCCCCTAGCCACTCCGGCCCCCATCCCTGGGCTGCACAGGCAGCCGCCGCTGCTCTTGTCCCTGCAGACGGACAGGAGAATCGGGGTAGCAGCCCAGCATGTGCCTGTCTGCTCTACAGGGTCTGCCACCCCCTCTCTATTCCCGAGGACAGCACCTCCAGCCCCCAGTGAGGGTGAGTGGCAGCAGGCAAGTGACCACCCGCTGCTGGAGCCTGGAGGTGGGGGCCACCCTGCACAGCCATGGACCCGAGAGGGTCACAGAAAAGTCAAGACAGAGGGCAGCAGAACGTCAGGTTGAGGAAACAGGGTGCACCTGCAAGGGTGAGGATGGGGTGCCCCTAGGTACAAGCAGAGAAACACCACCACCACCTGCCCCATCTGAAGACCCCCAGCCCATGCCGGCCTCACAGGCCTGGGGGAAGACCAGGGAGAAGCTGAGCCTCCCCTTCCCTCTGCTCTGCTCTCCAGGTCCAGACACCCAGCCAGCCCCCATCCGAGGGATGGGAGCTCACCAGGGGCTCCCTCATGCCACCCCCTCAGCCCCCAGGCCCGGTGCATCCTCCCCCCACATGCAGGGTGAGGTGGGGAATTTGCACACGCCCACACTCCTCCCAGCTGGGCACCCACAATCATCAGTGACCAGCATCACTGGCCAACACGAGGCATCACTACAAACGTGCTTTCAGAAAGGGGAAATGAGGATCAAACCCTGATGTGTAAGAGGAAGCCTCCAGCGCCACGCGGAGGGATGGAGGACGGTGGAGGGCGGCGGAGGAGGCTGGGGCTGGAGCAGCCGCCCTGACTCGCGGAGCAGACAGCCGGCCACAGCGGAGCCCCTGGGGGCCTCAGCATTCGCGACCCTGGACCCTCGGCAGAGCCCAGGGCCCACACCGCTCGTGTTGGCGGGCACAGCCAGGAGCCACCTGTTCCCCGCGAGTTCCTACCTGCGCAGAGCCCTTCCCACCAGCACCGCGAAACAACCCTAAATCCGGCCCCATCCACCGCGGTGACCCCGAAATCAGGGACCCGTCAGACTCCCTACTTCGCCTCCTCATCTCCAGCCCAGTGATGTGACCCAACCTCCCTCACCTCGGTCCCCAGCTTTCTAGACTCCTCTTTCCGGAAGGATCTGGGGGAAAATCCCCCAGAACCCAGATTCCCCGGGGGCACCCGCGGCAGAGGCGGTCTCCACGAGCCCGAAGCGCCAGGAGCCCCCACCCCCACCAGCACCGATGAAGCCATGCGGAAGAGCGGGAGCTGTGCAGGTCCTGGCGCCCCCGCACTGGCTGCTCGGTGGGGGTGGGGACAGCGAGGCCCACGCGGGGACGACCCTTGGGCCCTGGCCGCCCCCTACCCCGCGCTCTAGGCCCCGCAGCCACACCACGCGCCCCTCCTCTCTGACCTCCCGCCACCAAATGCGTCACGTCTGCCCAGCACTCGGAGAACACCTGCTGCCACCCCCGCCGCGCCGGGCCCGGCGCCCCGAGCCTGGGGCTTCTGGCCCGGCGGCCGCGCTGGGCAGGGCCACGAAGGGCCGCGCACGCTAAGGTCCGGCTGCTGGGCCCGGGGCCCGGGGGTCGGGGCCGCGCGGGGCCGTGCGCTCCGGGCCCGGAGGAGCCGGGGACGCGCGGGGCTGCAGTGCGCCCGGAGTCGGCGGCGCGGAGGGTCCGGGTCTCCAGAGTCCCGGCCCTGCCCGCGCGCGCCGCGGCTCTTACTTGCCAATATCCTCGTAGAGCTGGTACTCGTCTGTGAAGCGGGTGCAGGTCACCGTGGTGGCCATGGCGGTAACGGACGGCCTCGGCGTGCGCTCTACTGCACTCGGGCGGCGGCGACTCCGGCTCCCGTTCGCGGGCACGGCGGCGACACGGGCGCGGGCGCGGGCGACACCTCGGCTCGCGGCGCCGGGCGGGGGCCGGACTGGGCTGCGAGCGCACGCGAGATCTGCGCGCTCCGTCCCCGCCAGGAACGCGCCGCACACCTACGCGCGGGGAGCGCGGGGAGCGCGGGGAGCGCGGGAGCCTCTGTCACTGCCGCCGCTCCTGCCCCGCCCGCCGCCCCCTGCGCGAGCCCCGCACCCGAGCCCGCGCCCTGCACACGCACACACCCTGCGCCCGCGCCCTCAACTGAATCCACGTTCTGCACACTCACCGGCTCCCTGCACACGCGTCCACAGCCTGTAACCCCTGCACACGCACCTGCGTCCTCACCTGACCCTGCTCCCAACACACGCCTCTTAGCTCCTGCCCTGCACTTGTAACCGCTTCTGCACCCGCACACGGGCCTTCGCCCTCACTCGCACCCACTGCCGACACAGGTATCTGCACACGCGCCGGCGCCCCGCACACGCACGCACATGGCCCGGTGCACACATTCTCACTCGTTACACACCTGGGGCTCAGGGCCTCAAGCACAGGCACGGCCGGTTGCCGGGACTGGCTTCTCTGCTTTCTGCTGGTGACCCCTGCTCTCTGTCTCACACACACACACACACACACACACGCGGGTGCTGTACACAGTAAACCCAGCCCCCTCTTTCCCCTGAAGGCCCACCTTGCCCCGGACTGCAAGAGGGACACGGTTGCACATGGGGGACAAAGACACCTGCATCACCCTCCACAGGACTCATTCGTCACACCCCCCAGGAGGAGATGCCCCACACACTGCTAAGCCCAGTCCCCACCATCCACAGAGCTTTTCAGGAGCCTCCCAGACCAGGGTCACACTGGGGGACTGGGGTAGGAGTTGAAAAGGTAGAGGCTGTCCCTCCCCTGTGGTCCCAGCCCTGCCTCCCTCCCTCCTTCTAGCACTGGATGCAGGGGTGTCTGCACCAGAGGTCCCAGGAAGGGATGGGTGGGGGAGTTCAGGCCGGGAGTCCTCGAGTTAGGGGAACAGAGGCTGCTCCATCAGGAACTGGGGTCCTGAGAGCTCACAGCCCTCCTGCCCAGGTAGGGTGACACATGCTCCCTTTTCCCAGACCTAGTCCACCTGCCTGCCCCCTGCTCTGGCTGAAAGAAGAGGGTCCATCTTGAAAGTAGCCCTGGAGGGAAGGAGGAGGGAGAGAGAGGAGGAGGGCCAGGCAGGAGAGGCTGACCCGTTTTTTCCACAGAGGAGCCTCCCCAGGGCCACACCCAGGCTGCCATCTAGAACGGGGACTTCAGATTCAGCAAAGAGGGCCCACTGGGCTCTGGCACCCCACACTCCTTAAGGGGCTGGGGCCAGGGCAGGCTTGGTCCTGGGCAGGCCCCGAGGCAGAAAGTCACCAGAGCCAGCCCTGGATTTAGGTCACCCCACTGCCCTGACGGGAGCCACTGGCTGCGCTGCAGGCTTCCAGCCCAGGCTCTGGGCCGGTGCTGCTCACCCAGGGCTGGCCCCAGAGGCCACAATAAATGTTCCTGGATCAAAGATCACTGGAGGGATTCTGGGGCGGGGGCCTCCTCACCAGGATGCCTTTGGCACAAGGCTGTTAGGCAGCTTAGCAGACCAGGTGGGGCTACTCTGAGACCTGGGTGGTTTTGCAGACCTTGCAGACCTGACTTACACCCAGGAGACAGAGGAGACTGCGGGTAGTGATGAGTCCTGCCTGGGGCATGGAGGGCCCTGTGGGGGCATGGCCTTGCTCTCAGCAGGGCGGGCAGGTGAAGAGACCACCTCCACACCTCACAGAGCCCCTGGCCTGGCCAGACAGGCAACACCCATAGGCCTGCAGAGGTTTGCTCTGGGGTTGTGCTCAGCCCCATAGGAATCTCTTCCCCCACCTGCTGGGCCATCTGCATGACTCTGAGCTCAGGGGAGAAGGAGGCAGTCCCATACAATAGAATGCAATTAGCAAACAAACAAAACAAAATTGCACCCTGGACCAATCAGGATCTTCTCAGGCTACAAGCTGATCCTGGGCACTACCAAGGTCACACACACTCCTACCAGCGAGCCCATGCCATGATGAAGTGGCATTACAGGCGTGATGACACTGGTGTGCCTGCACACATTCTACATGTCTTACCTTATTTAACTCTCAGACAGTCCTAGGCAGGTACTATCATTATCCCCATTTTACTAGGTGAGACAGAGAGGAAGTAACTTGCCCAGTGTCACACAGCCAAGAAGTACCTGGGACTGAAACCCCACTGCTCCATAGAGCCCCTCATCTTTTATTTTCACACTCACTTGCACACTCACCTAGTCATGCACTCACACTCACACTCATGCACATTCACATACACTCATACACTTACACACTCACACATGCATGACTTCCACAACCTGGGTGAGGACACAGCTGCATTCTGGGGGTTTGCTTTGAGGTTCCTTCCCCTGGGTGGGGAGGCTGCCCAGGATCAAGGTCACACAAGAAGTCAGGGTCACTGAGGGGTTCAACTTGAAGCCCCCCTTCTGCTGTTAGCACCTGGGGTTGTTGCAGCAGCCCCTCCCTGGGCTGAAACATGAAAGGTGTGACACTAAGCAACCCTGAACGCAGGAAGGTGGGGTGATCAGGACACCCCAGCAGGGAATGGTGGAGCTACCAAGACCCAGACTGTCCCTGCCTCCACAACCCCACGCCCCTCACCACTCACAGAACAGCTCACTCCCCACTTCTAGGCCGTAGAGTAGAAAGGCTGGAATGGTGAGGGGCTGTCAGCCATGACTCTTCCTGGGCCCCAGAGTCCTCTCATCTGGCTTTGGCTTCCCATTCCCTCCTGCAGGAAGGGTCCTCTTCCACTCGCACCCCCGTGTCATCTCCACCTTCCCCCTATCCTTTCTAGCAGTGAGGAGCGCTCTCCCTCCCAAGTGGCAGCTGGGGCGGGTGTGGGGAATATCAGTTCTGGGAGGTTATTGTTAGGACAGTCCCCATGGCAACAAGCATCACATCTGCAGAGCCAAAAGTGCTGCTCATGAGGCTTGTTCTCCCAAGGAAAGCCATGACCTCCTCTACCCCTCACCTCCAGGGTCTGCTGTCATGAAGGTCACCTCTCTCGGTCACAGCCGTCTGCCTGGGAGGGCAGGCTGCAGTCCCTCAGAGCAGGAAGTCCCTAATCCATCACTCTGTGGCCACCTGGCCCTTGATGTGACAGCCTTTACTGGGTGCTGCGGCAGGTATGTGGGATGGTGGTGCTGGTGATGGTGCTGATGGTGATGGTGATGATGGTGGTGATGGTGATGGTGGTGATGGTGGTGATGGTGATGGTGGTGATGGTGATGGTGATGGTGCTGATGGTGCTGATGGTGCTGATGGTGATGGTGATGGTGATGGTGATGGTGATGATGGTGATGGTGATGGTGGTGATGGTGGTGATGGTGATGATGGTGATGGTGATGGTGATGGTGATGGTGCTGATGGTGATGGTGATGATGGTGATGGTGCTGATGGTGATGGTGATGGTGGTGATGGTGATGGTGATGGTGGTGATGGTGATGGTGGTGATGGTGGTGATGGTGATGGTGGTGATGGTGGTGATGGTGATGGTGGTGATGGTGGTGCTGGTGATGGTGCTGATGGTGCTGGTGCTGATGGTGGTGATGGTGATGGTGGTGATGGTGATGGTGATGATGGTGGTGATGGTGATGATGGTGATGGTGCTGATGGTGATGGTGATGATGGTGATGGTGATGGTGATGATGGTGATGGTGATAATGGTGGTGATGATGATGATGGTGATGGTGGTGATGATGATGGTGCTGATGGTGATGGTGATGATGGTGGTGATGGTGATGGTGATGATGGTGATGGTGCTGATGGTGATGGTGGTGATGGTGATGATGGTGATGGTGCTGATGGTGATGGTGATGGTGGTGATGGTGATGATGGTGATGGTGATGGTGATGGTGCTGATGGTGATAGTAGTGATGATGGTGATGGTGGTGATGGTGATAATAACGAAGACCAAGCTACAATTTACAATATATTTACTACATAATAAAAACTCCTTTTTTTTTTTATCCTCACCCAAGGACACTTTTTTCCCCATTTTTTGTTCAGATAGAGTGGGAGGGAGAGAGAGGAAGAGAGAGAGAGAGAGAGAAACATTGACGTGAAAGGGACACATCGAGTGGCTGCCACCCACACGACCAACCAGGCCTGGGACAAACTGCAACCGAGGTATGTGCCCTTAGCAGGAACCAAACCCGGGTCTCTCGGGACCACAGGCCGACGCTCTAACCGCTGAGCCAAACCGGCCAAGGCTACATAATAAAAACTCTTCTAAAGGCCTACTCACCACTTCACTAAACTTCATAGCAGCCTCGCAAGGCAGGGGCTATCGGTTAGCCTCCTTTCACAAATGCGGACACGGGGCACAGAAGGTGCTATACCTGGGCTCAGTTCACACCGCTGGTCTGTGGCAGAGCCAGGACTGGCACCATGTCTGCCTGAGTTCAGAGCTGGTGCCTTTAACCACTGTGCTCTGCTACCAGGGGGCAGCTGCTCTGTCCACGTGGTGACTGTCACACCAGGAGGGAGAAGGGCTTATGCCCAAGACCGACAAGAAACAAGCAAGAACTCACTGAGCAGTGATATCATTCTGCATCGATTTAAAGACAGTGGTTGCTGGAGCACGTCGGAGTGTGGCCCAGGCTCCTCTGCGGAGCTGAGGTCTGAGCTGAGATCTGAATGACCGAGGGACACGGGTGGGGAAGGGCACCGAGGGCAGAAGCAGCAGCCCAGACCTTGCACCCCGGCAGTCGGGCGGCACCCATGTTGTTCATGACGCTCCATGTAGCCCACAGGGGTCCGGGCTGCACCTGGCTCTCTGCTCTGCCATCAGGGTCGACCTGGAAATCCGGCTGTCACGTCCAGGTGCCTGGTGGCCGGATTTGTGGAAGTAAGGAT